ATGGTGACAGACAGTGTCAAAACCAGAGACACAAGTATAGGAAAAGCAAGTCAGACACCCAAGGACAAAAGGAAAGGGGGCCACCAGAGAAGCCTCCCAGCATGACTAACAATGGACCGGAGATACATGGAGCCTGCATGGCTCTGTGTCTGGAAGCAGCAAGAGCAGAGGATTTCTATGAGAAAACCCCAGGGAGCTTAAAAAAAAAAAAAAGACCCAGAGTGGGGACTTGGGAAGTCCTTGAGATTGTCAGAGGCCAGCGGGGTATCTATCATAGCAACTGCACTAGGACACTCCAAGGCCAGGAGCTCGGAGGTCCCCAGCATCCTGTCCTAAGATGCCACAAAAAGTGTTGAAGATCCAGTACTCCGAACCTCAATGATCGGGGGGCGGGGGGGCAACCTCAGATGGCAGAGGTCAGCATTGAAAATCAGGGGGCCCAGAGCAGGACCAGTACGGCTGATCATCCCATCTGAAAGTCCAGCAGGGCAGCAGAGCCTGGTATGTGAAAATAATGTAATAATATTGCTCCATTAGAAATAACAAAAGATACACTTTCTGAGAAAGTCTGTGGGTGGTATGAGCTGACACAGAAGCGAATGGAACCAGGGGAATAATTTCTACAAGGACAGCAACATTGTAAATGAATAATAACTCTGAGAGACCTAAGAACTTGGATTGAAGTGGTGATCTCCGGAGAACATCTTATCAGCCTGCTGATACGGAGCTCATGGACATAAGGTGCAGAGGCCTATTTTTGGACCCAGCCAATGGGTGGGTTTGTTTTGCTTGGCTCTGTTTCTTGGCTAAAGGATGTTTTTTTTTTTTCCTTTCTCCCGATTTTTAATGGGGGGTGGGGATGGGGAGAAGCGGGGAGGGTTAGCAACAGTGATACTAAACAAAAGAAGGCCACTGAAACTTTAAAAAAAAAAATGCTCCTCACTCTCCATTGCTGGGTCTTTGTCTAGTTCACATCCACCAAAGGTGTTTATTCCCCCAAAGTTCTGTCCGGGGTCCTCTTCTCCCTCTAAACCATCTCTCTTGGTGACATCATAAGCTCCCAATTATCATCTCTCTGCGGATGGCTAAATCCAGCCCCATCCTTTAAGCTAAACTCCAGTCTGTTACCGTTTTGGACACCTCAGACTGGCCATCCCGCCATGCATCTCAAACTCAACATGTCTAAAACAGCTGCCATCATCTCCCCAACCTCCCAATTGCTCTCTAACTCGATGACATCCTCCCGGCCACCCAGGGCTCACCATCTCACTGTCCTCTTGGACTCCTCATACTCTCTTACCTGCCACGTCTAATCTGTTGCCACCCATCATCTTATCTACCTCCAGGGCACCTCCTGTCAATGTCCCCTTCTCTCCTCTGGCCTTGACTCCATCCTGGTGCAAACGCCCTTCGTTGGATTCTCCCTGCCTCAAGTCTCTCCCCAATCCAGTTCATGCTCCATACTCAACTGCCAAAGGGATTTTCATAAAGGGCAAGTCTGACCATGGTGTCCTTCCTGTTGGCTCCCTATTATCTCCAGGATCAAATAGAAAATTCTCTATTTGACATTTACAGCTCTTCTCAACCTGGCCCCCTCCTATCTTTCCCCCTGACTCCCTCCCATATACTCTGACCCCATGATGTTGGTGTCCTGGTTGGTCTGTGAACAAGTCACTCTAGGCACATTCCCTGGCCATCCCCCCACAGCCTGGAAAGCTCTCCCTCCCCACCTCGGCCTCCCTCAAGACTCAGCTCAAATCCCAGCTGGTGCAGGAGGCCTTTCTTGGGCTTGCCTCCCAGTGCTAGTCACCCCTCTGAGATCACCTCCCATGTGCACTGTGGACATCTATCCAGTCTGTGGCGAGCCGTCTGCAAGCTGCGTGCCCCATCGGGATGTGAGCTCCTTGGGGGTGGCTTTTGCCTTTCTTTGGGTCCTTAGTATGGGAGCTGGCACCCAGTAAGTGCTCACGAGATGCTTGGTGACTGACAGACAGAACAGAAGGAAGTTCAGAAGGAAGCAAAGACGAGCAGGACAGTTTTGAAAGTGACGTGTGGAATTTATTACATCCTTTTTTTGGAAAAAGCAAGCGAGAAGAAATGGAGGTTCGCAGTCTCACGGGGTGGCCTCTTTCGCGGTTCTGCCCAGCATATAGATATGCTCCTTTTTGTTGTTTAGGTTTCGAATCTAAAACTTTTTTTTTAAGTGGCCAACAGCATGCAGGGTACTGAGCAAGGGGCACCCTTGGCATGACAAGCTAAGCGTCAGCTGGAATAGGGAAAAGTCTTCCTAGATTCTGAGAGCTCCAGGGACATAACCTTTAAGCAGCCTCGTGTTAGGCCCAGCTTTTCTGCTTGGGAAGCGTGTGGTCCGGGGCTATGTGCCCATTGCATCTAGCACTCCAGTGGATCTGACAGGAGCAGGGCAGAGCCCTGCCTTGTTTGTTGTGAGAAACAGGGTAGCTGAAGCCTCCTGATTGGGGGGGGGGGAAGGAAAGGGGGAGAAGAAAGAGAAGGGGGAAGAAAAGAGAACAAGAAGGAGGAAAAGGAGGGAGAGAAGGGACATAGAGGGGTATGAGGGTGGTAAAGGGGGAAGAGGAAGGAAAGGGAGAAAGGGAAGAGTGGGAGAAGAAGTGCAAAAGGAGGAAGAAGAGAGGGGAATGAAGGGGGAAAGGGGAAAATGTGGGAAGAAGGAGAAGGGGGAGGAAGAGAAGAAGGGGAAGAAGGAAAGATGGAGGAAGGAGGGAGAGGAGAGAAGGGGAAGAAAAGAGGGAGAAGAGGGTGTAAAGGGAGAGAAGAGGGGAAGGAGAAACAGAGGAAGGGGAAGGAGGGGAAGAGAGGAAAGAGGGGGAAGAAAGCAGAAAGAGAAAAAGGGGGAAAGAGGAGGGAAAAGAGTAAGAGGGAGAAAAAGAGGAGACAAAGAGTGGAGAAAGGAAGGATAAGAGGGGGGAAAGAGATAATTTTTATTTACAAATTATAGTGAGCATTTTGATTTTTATTTTCATATTTACAAGTTACCAGGAGAATATACACAATAAGTATGACAACACAAATGAAAGAACAAAGATCTCCATCAAAATGCAGGGCCTCCTGTGCCCTGGGCCTCCCGTGCCCTGGGCCTCCCATGCCCTGTGCCTCCCCCTGGGCTCCCCTACAACGTAAGCTCCTTGCAGGTTTCACTCCTGCCTCTGCATCCCCAGGCCCAGCACAGTGTCTGGGACAGAAGCAATCCTTGTCAAATGAATAACTGAACAAACCCGGCCCTTGTATCTACACAGAGCTGGGGGCCTATGGGTGCAGAACACTGCGTGCACCAGCAGACATAATGGCAGTTTTTTTTTCTCTTACTTTGTTATTCTTTGTTACAAGGGATGTCTCACTGGGCCTGGGAAAGGTGGGGCACATACTCAGAAATGAAAGGCATTAATCCATTTTTTCCAAGCTCCCCGAAGAACATTATGGGGGCCAAGGACACGAGACTGCCCTGGCTCTGTGTGTCTGAGAGGCTGGGCCCTATCCCAACCTCTGGTGGGGTTTGGGCTCTGGGCCAGGGGTAGAGAGCAAAGTGGCTGCCCAACTTCATCCACTCCTGTCCTGGTCTAGGGAAGGCCCTGGGGAACATTTTAAGTGTCCTAACTAAAGAACAGACCTCCCCAGACTCCCTCCACCTCCCACCCTGAGCTCACTAGCCTGCTGAAAACGAAATGTATTTTTGGAATGAAACCTCTGAGATTTTATTTTGATTTGGTTGTTTTGACACAGAGATATACATAAATGGATGTGCTGGGGGAGTGCTGAGGATAGGTGACTCCACAGCCTCTAAAAATGAGCCCCAAACCCACATAAGAGATATCACAGATTCAAGTCAATTACAATAAGAGTAACTAGCATTTATGAAGCACTTTCAAGTTTGTGAAGCATTTTACAAATACTATCTCATTTAATCCTCAACTGAGGTAAGGTAAGGGAGGTGCTGTTATTATCATAATCCCCATTTCACAGATGAGGAAATGGAGGCTGAAAAGCAAAGTAGCTTGCTTCGGACCATCCAGCTAGGAAGTGTCTGAGGCCAGATTGGAGTTCAGATCACCCAGACTCCAGGTCCAGCACTGGCCACAGGGACCCTGGTAGTAATGAGTTTTAAACAGTCCATTGGTGATTGAGCTTTACCGCTTCTAAAAGGAAGGATAAATAATTGCGCAGCAGCAAAAAGACCACTGGCTCTGGAGTCGGAGGGCCTAGGCTCAAGTCCTACCTCTGACACTACCTGTGTGACCTTGGGCAAGTCCCTTCCCTTACCTGGGTCTCAGTTTCCCCCTCTGTAAAATGAGGGGGTCAGACTAGGTGATCTCTGAGGGCCCTTCCAGTTCTAGGTCTGGGATCCTAGGTGTGACCTTGGGCAAGTCCCTTTCTCTCCCCTGTACCTCAGTTTCTTCCTCTGTAAAATGAGGGGGTGGGCCTAAGGGCCCTTCCAGTTCAATCTATGATGTTATGATACAGGAAGCAGGGATAGAACACAGGTTTCTAGTATCAGCTCCAACAATGCCTTGGTTTTTGAGAACCATTTAATTTTTATACCTCAGTTTTTCAGTATTTTTTTTTTAAAGCAAGCAAAATACCTCCCCTTCAGCTATCCTAGAGGGATGCCAGAAAGAATAATTTGATATTGAGAAAGCATTCTGAAAATCTTGGAACACTTATTAGTCTCAAAGGCTGAACTGGCCTTCTCCTGACCAAGGCCAACCCTTCCCCTTGTACCCGTGACCCAGTTATTTTTCTACTTATCCCATCCCTCAGCTAGATTTGAATCTCTGAGGGCTCTCCGGGCCTCAATTTTTCTTCCTTTGTAAAATGAGAGGTTGGATCCTTCCAGCTTTAAATCTGAGGCTAGCTCCTCTGTTCCCCCACTACCCCAAAGTGACAAAGAAGTGTGAAATGTTAAAGCTTCCACCAGAACCCATAAATATGCCAAGATAGGAGGTAGAAAAGAGATGTCATGTTACCTGAACATTCGGTACAGGTCCCGAGGTGTCATTCCACCACCATTATCAGGAAAGATCAAAGTTCATTCTTGACCTCCTCAACTTCTATGCAGAATACGTGGGCCAATCCTCTGGCATCTGTGGCATTGTCTGCAAAAGATCAGAAACTCTGAGACAAGATGCCAGTCTCAGCTGTCCCTACATGCACTCGTTCAGACCACTTCCTGGCATTTGACTAAATAACTGGGTACACGAGGGACACAGGGGTTGCTAAGGAAGCAGATATCTGAAAGAGTGAACCAGCTTAGCACAGTGCCTGGCACATAGTAGCTGCTTAAAAAATGGCTATTTATTATTCAGTATTCCCCTCAGTTGATCAAGATTTGCTCCTTCTCCCAAGACAGGGTATTCCCAACCTGAGGAATGTGTACTTCCAGGGGGAATGATTGGCAAATAATCATATTATCCCACTGAGGTTAACCAATCTCTTTATTTTATATTTTAGAGCACATTCATAGGAAACTCTAGAGTTTATATCATGTTATGTTATGTTATATTATATATTTCATACCAAATAGAAAGTATGGAAAAGTTTACTGAAAAGCAAAGGGTATGTAGACCAAAGAAAGTCTGTCCTAAGAGAAAGGAATCAAAGCCAACTCTTATCTCACAGCTCCCTGGCCTTGATTTCCTTCGGTTGCTCTATCCTTTGTTCTCAGGTGACCTCATTTATTCCACCCCTCCAAGGATTTTCAAGTCCACTTCATTAGTGGCAGTCTTCTCACTTGCTCTTTGCATAGATTTCTTTTCTGATACCCAAGTGCTACTTGACACTAACTCAGCTGAGTTAATCTCTCCACTGTGGGTCTCAACCCTCTTCATCATCTGGTGTTTTGTCAGTCCCTGATTATTCCTTGCCCTAACTAGGCTGTAGCTCATCATTTGCTGGCATAGCTTCGGATCTGGGGCCCATGCAAAGCTGGGAAATGAGCTGCCTAAAGGACAGATGTGGAGAGGGACAAGGGTGGAGGAGGGGGGGCAGCCAGGAGAACCTTAAGAAGACTGAATGGACCGCGTGTGGTCAGGTGACAAGGCAACTATGAAACCCACTTCTGCATTTCATTTAGTCACCAGTCAGTCACCAGGCCTGCTCCCTGCCTGAAAAATGCATTCTGGGGGTGCGGGTAGTAATTTTCCTAAGGCCCAAACCTCTTGATCTCTGCCCCCCCCCCCCCACCTTACTGCCTGACTCAGCCATTTCACTGATGCACCTTTAGGAGAATGATGACGATGAGAAAAGGTAAAACAATTTAGTTATAATAAAATTCTATATTGTCTATTTTACCTTAGGCCAATCTTGTTTTCAACAAGAAAACAATCTTTTCTTCTGTTTAAATAAAGTCTTTGTTAATATCATCAGCTCTCCTCATAGCCTAGGAGGAGTTGGGACAGAAGGAGGTTTGAGATTCATTCCTTTTAAGCCAGAGACATTTAATCGCCTCTCCTGATCCTAAAAAAAACAGCAAGCCAGCTTAGAAAGAGAGAGCACATCTCTTTTTAGGTCTGGTCCTTGCATTAATCTGAGGAGTGAGGTCATCTATTCCAAAAACAGGAGAGGGAGCCCGAAGAGTTGTATGACTTCCAAGGCAGGTTTCAACAAAGGACTTACCTCTTAAATAGGACCTCTCAGACCACTGGACACCCCAAAAAGTATGAAAATACATTCCAAATGGACACACACACAATTTGAAGATTAGCTATACTAATATTTACTGGCCCTCATGGACAGGAGCAACCAATCAGAATTTAAGTTTCTCGAGGAGAGGAAACTTTTAGACCTCTGTGTATGTTCAGGACCTATCACTATACCCGAGAATGGGTCTAAGTCACTAGCAGCTGCATTGAAAAGTTATGTAGGAAAAAAGCATAGGTCTGACCATGGAATTCCCCTGCTCAGCAAACTCTAGGGGCTTCCAGGATCAAATACACACTCCTCTGTTTGGCATTTACAGCCCTTCACTACTTAACTCTGGTCGGCCTACCTTTCTAGCCTCATTATACATTATTCCAGTGCTCCCTAACTTTTTTTCTTCTTCAAATCAATTTCAACAATAAGGAAAAAAAATGTGTTGTGGATCCCTGCAGTGTGTGTGGGGGTGTCTGTATAAATATATTTGTAACACACTCAGGCAATTACTGCTTAAGGAGCCATTTAAAGAATATTTAGTGCAAAGCCCATGGGAACCTGTGGCCTCGAGGCCACGTGTGGCCCTATGGGTCCTCAAGTGCGGCCCTTTGACTGAATCTAACCTTCACAGACCAAATCCTTGCCCTCTAGGTCAAGTGCAGCCTTTTGACTGAGTCCAAACTTCACAGAACAAATCCTATTATTAAGGTGATTTGTTCTGTTTAGTTTGGATTCAGTCAAAGGACTGCACTTTAGGACCTAGAGTGCCACACGTGGCCTTGAGGCAGCAGGTTCCCCGCCCTTGCCCCAGGGGTTTGGGAAACACTATATTACTCCCTCTACAAACTCTACAATCAGGCCAAAACGTCCTTGTTATCCTTCACACATGACATTTCATCTATCTGTGAGCTATTACCCAGGCTGTCTCCGGTGACTGGAGAGCACTCTCCCCTTCTTTCCCCCTAACCCTAAACCTTTATGAATCCCTTTCCTTTCATTCTCAGCCCCAGGGCCACCTACTAAAGCAGTGGATCTCAAATTTGGGGGACTCGGGACCCCTTTACACTCTTAAAAATGACTAAGAATACCCCCAAAGAGCTTTTGTTTATGTGGTTATACCCATTGGTATTTACCATATTAGAAATTAAAATGTCCTAGATTATTATGAAAACAGTTTTGATCTCCTGTACCCCACAAAGGTTCCAGGGATTTGAAAACTGCTGTTCTAGAGGAAGTCTTTCCTCATATCCCCAATGCCTAGTGCTTTGCCCCCATCCCATTACCTTGCATTTATTTGGCATATGCTACATGTAAATCTTGGTTTTGACATGACAATTATTATTTGCATATTGGATATATGTATATTAAAAATCTCATCTTGTACTGAAAGCCTTTCCCAGTCCCCCTTAATTCTAGAGGTTTTTTTTTTTTAACCTTTGCCTGTCTCTAAGTGATCTTGCCTAGAGTTCGTTTGTACATAGTTATTTGCTGTGTCCCCCACTGGACTGTGAGTTCCCCAAGGGCAAGGCCTGTCTTTTGCCTTTACGTTTAGTGCTTAGCACAGGACCTGGCACACAGCAGGAGCTTAATAAATGCTCTTGCCTATGTTTTAGTTCTCTCTCCCCGAGAATATAAACTTCTTGACGGCAGAGGTTGTTTTATTTATGTCTTTGGAGTTCTTTCCAAGGCCTGGATCTCAGTGGGTGCTTACTAAATGCTACTTGATTGACTTCAAGGCAAGATGCTCAGGAAGGGCCAGAAGCTGGGGCTTCTCTCCCCTCTCCCTGGCCTCTCTGAGCCCCAGCTGTCTCCCTCCCCACCCCAGCCCCAGGCACGAGAGCTGCGCAGGTTCACCTGGCAGGCCAGGCCTCTTGTTCAAACAGTTGAGCGCTCTACGCTCCCAGCTCTTTCCTGCTCCCAGCCCCCTCCTCCCCTCGCTCCCCTCGCTCCCCTCCGCTCCCCGCTCCTCCCCCGCCCCCTCCCCTCCCCCAGCCCCTCCCCCCGTCTCTCTCGGTCTCTCTTTCTCCCCCCTTACCCCCCGTCTCTCGATCTCTGGCTCTCCCTCTCCGCCCCCCTCCCCCAGCGCCAGGCTTCAGTTTACATTCGCACCGCTGGGCTGCTGCCTGCTCTGCGCCCGTTATGTGCTTTTCTCGCCTCGTCTGCGGGCCGGCAGCCAGCCTATTCCGAAGTGCCCTGTACACCTAGAGGCGGCCCGGGCGCCACGCCGCCCCGCCCCGCCCCGCCCGGCCCGCCCGGGGCCCCCGCGCCCGCGCTCGCGCCAGCGCCCGCTGGGGGGTTGGGAGGGGGCCTGGGCTGCCCGGCGGCCGGCGGGGCTGCCGGCCAGCCAGCCGGCCTGGCGGGAGACCCCGGCTCCCGCTCCTCGCTCACCTACCTGGCAGGGCGCTCACCTGGTAGCTTGGCGAGGGCACCGAAGGGGGGCCACGTGGGACCGAGGGCGGTGCTGTGCAGGTCCCCAGGGCTCACCTGTGCCCGCGAGGCGGCCCGAGCCCACCTGCCGCCCTGCCCTCCCGCCCGGGCTCGCCTCTAGCTCCCTCTCGCTCTCCCTCTCTCCCCCTCTCTCTTTCTCCCCCTCTCTCTCTCTCTGTCTCTCTCTTTCTCTCCCTCTCTCTCTCTCTCTCTTTCTCTCTCTTTTCCTTCCTCCCTCCCGCTGAAAACCGTCCCTCCCCCCCCACCGCGCTCAGGGGCAAGGCCAAGGCCGTCGGGGGCGGGGCCGGGGCGGGCCCGAGGGTGGGGCCTCGCCTTGCCTCCTTCTGGCTCCCAGCTGGGAAAGGCAGGAAGGAGGAGCTGGGCTCGGGCCGAGCCAGCCTGGGCCACACGTCCCCGCTGCCCTGCAGCTGAGTGGCAGCTTCCAGCCACCCCGTGTGTGCCTGGGGGCTGCGGGGCCCCGAAGGGAGCAAAGAAGGATGGAAGGAAGGCAGAGGGAGGAAGGAAGGAGGAAGAGAGGGAAGGGAGGGAGGAAGGAAGGAAGAAGGGAGAGGGAGGAAGGAAGGAAGAAGGGAGAGGAAGGAAGGAGGGAGGGAGGAAGGAAGGAAGGAGAGAGGGAAGGGAGGAGCCAACTGGAGTAAGTGATACTGTGAGTCCTGGCTCCAAATCCCTCCCCTCCCCCACCACTACCCATCTCGCCGAACCTCAGTTTCTCACCCATAAATGAGTGACGGGGGCCTGAGGGTGGGCTACAACGGAAAGAGTACTAACTGTGTTCAAATCCTCCCCCCATCCCCCATTCTGGAGGGGCACCGTGGTGTTAGGGGTCAGGATGTCCAACATCCACGCCCCATTTTCAGGTAATAGAACTACCCCTCTAGGGAGGTTAAGTGACCAGTTACTCGAGCAAGATCCTGCAGGGATACCTCTTCTATGCAAGCCATCACTGAGCAAGTAAATCGCCCAAACTCCTTCCACATGTGGTCATTTGTTTATGCTAACTCTCAGGCTCCAGAGTGTTAACCCTCCCGACTGGATACATTAGGTTTGTTCAGTAGGATCAGTCGCACCTTCATAATCGAGAATACCAATCTTCTGGGTCAGAAGAACCACCTCCATGAGTTTCTAAAACCCCAGCAACATCAGAAAATCAAGGTTCTAATTCTACCTCTGCTCCTAACTAATTTGCATGGTATTTGGAAAGTCACCTCAACTCTGGGCCCCATGCATGGAAGGGATCTCAAATTACCACCTAGTTCAAGCATCTCCTGAATCGGGAATCCTCTCTCCAGCATCCCTGCCTCCTGCTGGTCTGGCCCCTGCCAGAGGGCCACCAGTACTGTACGGAGATATTCACTCCATTATTCCACAGCTCGTCCTCTCTTAGGATAGCTAGGAGGAAGTCGGTTCTTCTAGCGGTAGAGACTAGGCCAGTGATTTCATTGGCATAGGGAACTTCGAACGAGGAAACTCTTATCAAGTGCAGGCAGGCCCAACACCTTCTTGGCGACTTACAGCCCAGGAACTGGGGTTCTTGACCTTTTTCTGTGTCATGGACCGCTCCTCGGAATCATGTTTGTAAATGCATAAAATACCTAGGATCACAAAGGATCCCAACTGTATTGAAATATAGTCATCAAAATATTCAACAAGTTCACAGACCCCAGGCCAAGAAGCCATCTTAAGTGACTTGACCAGATTCATGCTGACAGTGTCAGAAGCAGGTTTGAAGCCAGGAGGCCAGCTCTCCAGCCACTACAATGTGATACTTCTAAGTCATCCCTGATGACACACACTCAAGAGGTTTTTAAAGTGGTGGTTTTTAACTAATCTCATTTTAATCTCACTCCACTTCCCTTCTCATGGTAAGCTGAAATCTGCTTTTCTGCAGCTTCCATCCATCCGTCCATCCATCCCAGCCCTGCTGTCTGGGCTCAAGGAAGAGGTCTCCACTCTCTCTTCCTTCAAACACACAGCTATCATACCCCTTCCTCCTAAGCCTTATCTTCTCCAAAGCCGACATCCCCATTTTCTTCAGTTGAGCCTTGTACAGCATGGCTGAGTCCTCTCAGTCTTGGCTGTCTACTGGCCTCCCTCCATTTTGCCCCTGTCCTTCTTGAAGGGGGGGCACCCAAAACTGGACACCATGCTCTGGATATGGTCTCACTGGGGCACAGTACAAAAGGATGTTCATTTCCCTCCCGCAGCGAACACTGCAATCTCCCTCAATGGAGCCCAAGATAATAGTCACATCTTGGGTGGCCATGTCACACACTGCTCATGCTGAGCTTGTGGTTCACTAAAACATCAAGATCGTTTTTTTTTTCCTTTTTAAATGCTTTATTGAAGCTCTTTATTTTTTTTAACATCATCGTCACTTCTCAATGACTCCCCCCCCACGCCCCCCCCATGGAACCTTCCCTTGTAACAAATAAGCACAGTCAAGCAAAACAAATCAACATATTGGCCACGTCTGCAAGTGTATGCCTCATTCCACATCTAGAGGCCACCACCTCCCCAAAGAGAGGTTAGAGGTGTGCTTCAGTGTCAGGCCTCTGACGTCACCATCGGTCACTCACTGAACTAATCCATCCAAGATCTTTTTCACATGAACCACTGCTTAGTCACATCTCCTTAAGTCTGTCAGAGAACAGAAACCCAACCCAAAGGGTAACAACCTCTTGTTCGCTGTGATGGGGTCCCTCTGATTGTTGGACCCAGCTACTGATCATTTAAACCGTTATTTGTGTTGTAACTAAGTTTCAAGCAAACTTTTTTCTCTACATATCCCTATTTCTCTAATATGTTCTAATATCTGTGACACACAGGACGTTGCTGAGACAGTGGAGGAGGGAAGAGAGGAATGACTAGCTAAGGGCTGCTCTTTGAACAGAAAAAAATGGGGAAACACTAGAAAGCACCCCTCCAGGAAGGGTCCCCCTGAATACGGAACAGCACCCACTAAATTACAGATGCTTCCAGGAGAAAAGCGAGCAGGGGTCCTTGCATCCCAGTTGGGGAACGAAAGAAACAAAATACACACCCCCTAATACCTCTCCACAGATATACAAACACTCATGGACACACATTCACATAACGTACCAAGCCTAATACACAAACAGGTATCTGCCCACGCCACAGTACAGTTGTGTCGGTACATCACAAAATAGTATACATATAGCCATGATTTGTTGAGTCTCATCTGTGCCCATCATTAGTGAAAAATTTCTTTGCTTCCCAAGTTCTCTTGGCCACAAATTCCCTTTTCCCACCTTCTCCAGGGGGCTTTGCATTTTGGCTCCTGACTAGCTGTTCCCAGGACACTGAGAGAGGAAGAGATCCTTGGATTAGTGTTGTCCCAGGGGAGCGGATATGTTGGGGTGTGGGGGACTGTTTGGTCCTGGAGGAATAGCTAGTTCATCTAGGCAGACAAGCATTCTAGAGGGAGGACAGAGCAAGTGGGATCTCAGGGAAAGATGGGTCCCACAATAAGCTAACTGCCCATCTGCTGCTTGTTCTGCTAGAGCTTTCTGGTCTGGCCATGGTCACCAACTCTACTCTTGCCCTTCCCTTAGTCCCCAAGGGCTGGTCTGGAATCTGCTTTTCATTTGGGGAGCCTTGGCCTTGACTGGCCAAGGGACTAAGGGATCCAATCTGACCATGAACACCAGAACTGCTAGTCCAGGCCCTGGATGTGGAATGTATCAAAAGCAAAGGTTTACTGGGAACAAAGGAGGCAACCTGTCTGAATGAAGACTGGAAGAAGGCCTACCCTATGGAAAGGAGTTATTCTAGTCTGAAAGGAAGGAGGGATGGACGGACGGCAGCTGGGAGAGCTTTGTCCGGGCCAGCAAGATATCAAAGAAGTTGAAAGTCTGTCCCTGGCTATCTGTACCTCCAGTCAATTCCCTGCGAGCAGGCTTGGCAAACTTAAGAGAGGAAGCCAGGCTACAGGGCAAAGCTGAAGGAGAAGAATAGGCCTGCAAAAGGAAAAGGTTTCCAGGGTGTCTCTCTAATGGCCTCTTATGTTTTATGGAATCAATCCAATCACCCACAAATGTTTATTACCCATCTACTATGTACACGACACTGTGCTAGACACTAAAGGGGGAGACAGAGAAACAGAAGACAAGGTCCCTGCCCTCCAGGAGCATATGGTTTAGCTGGGAAGACAAGATATACAAATTAAATACGCTGGCTGCTCTCCTGCAATCCTAGAATGACTGGTTAGGGGGAGGGAGTAGAGGAGGTGGGGTGTAGTGAGACTGACGTCCTTCCCTTGTGGTTAATAGGAGACAGGTTAGGAAGTTTTGTCAGCCTCTGAAAGGTAGTGGGAAATATATGAAGACCAAACAGAGACAACTTGATAAGAATTCTATCTTACCCTAGGGAGGGCAAACTTTATTCTCAGTATCTCCTCTATCTCATATGGTCTCTCACTGAGGGAAATGTTTCCAAAAGTTATCCATAATGAACACTTGAAAAGGTGCTTACTAATCACTCTCTCCTATGAGATGGTTCTTTATATACAGACCCTAGAAGTGAGTTGCAAATACAAGCAAGAACACATAAGGGGCCTGGTCCATTTCTCTTTTAGCTCCCATCCCGTTCTGCCATGCTATCTGTTGCACATGGGATAGGAGAGGCTGACTGAAGCCCCGACATCTGCGTTTTGTTCTTTCCAAACTCTATCACCAGTGTTTTCCCCAGTAGGTTGTATCCATTCACCAGCAACAATGCCTGCTGGGCCATCTCCATATCTAAAAGAGAAAATAAAAATGAATTTACCAAGGGCTTGACAACTTGATTCCATGGACTGAACTGGATTAGGGGATTTTATATTAGGGTTGAATGTCAGGCCTCAAGGCTAGCTGTCCCCTTCTGATAATGAAGTTTGCCAGCATCTCAATGTAATTGGAAGTCTGAGGTCCTCTCCGATTTTTCTGTCAGTACAAAAGGAGTCAAAGAAAGGCACCAGGGGAAAAGATGGGCCCATCATGTGGTGAAAGGAAAAGCGAACAGCCTGTGTGTTCCATTAGCATCTTCGCAATGTCAAGAGAAATTGAAGAAGGCTTCCAGCACACAGTGGATGGACCTCCTGCGATGAACTTCTGGGAAGACATGGACAGGCGGGCATAAGTGGGTTGCAATCTGTACTGCTGGAGGGAATATCCACATCAATGAGATCACAGATGTATTTGAGCATACAAAAGAAGAAGAAACAGATGTGGACGGTTCACTAAAGGAGAAATCTAAGACAGAACTAACTCTGTATAGAAATTGGTTACTTAAGAAAATGCAACAAAACCAAAAAAACTGTATCCGACATGCATCTGCATTTCCTAAAGGAGTGTTCCTCAAACTGAAGGAGGTTTGAAGGGATGACAGAAACCTTGGAAGCTGGAAACTTCGTCAACCATCACAACTACATACCTAGCTTCTTAACCACCTTCCATTCCCTCATCACCCATAAATACCTTGCTCTTTGTGTGTTCCTTTCTTCCCCAGCTAACCTGAACTTTAGAACCATAGACTTTCAGCAATTTATGCCCCCCCAAAATCAGCAAAACAAAAGACACAGCAATCAATCCATCAAGCACTTATTAAGCTAAGCACTAGGGATACTGAAACAAAAAAAAAAACAAAAACAAAAACAATTAACAGTCCCTGCTCTCAAGGAGCTTACATTCTATGGAGAAAAACACCATGTAGTACACATCTAAATGTATGTTAAATATTAAATACATACCAAATGAATACAAGGTCATGGGGGGGGGGGAGCAGTGAGGGAGATTAGGAGGCCTCCTGAAGGAAGTAGCACTTAAGTTAAGCCTGGAAGGACACTAGGGATTCCAAGAGGTATAGGCTATATAAGAAGGCTGAAAAGGTATATTAAAGCCAGAATGTGAAAGGCTTTCAATACTGACCAAAAGAATGTGCATTTGATCCTAGAGGTGAGAGTGCCACCAAAGCTTATGGAGCAGAGAGGAATGACCTATACTTCAGGAAGATCACTTTGGCAGTTGGGTGGAGTATGGAATGGAGAGAGTAGAGACCTGAGGCAGGAAGATCAATTAGCCAGCTCTTACAATAGTCCAGGCAAGAGCAGAGAGTTATGAGCAAAGAGAAAGGGAAAAGCTGAGAGAGATATTGTGGAGGTAGAATTAGCAGCACTTTGCAACTGACTGAATTCAGGGTTGAATGGGAGTGAGAAATCAAGGGTTACAATGAAGCTCCACATCTGGGTGACTAGGAGGATGGCAGTGCCCTTGACTGAAATAGTAAAGTTCAAAAGAGGGCTGGGTTTTGAGGAAAACATAATGAGCTTAAGATGCCTAAAGGACACGCAGTTCAAAATGTCCAATAGATAACTGGTGAGATGGATCAGCTGGGTCTGGGAGTCATCTGCATAGAGATGATAATTAAACCCAGGGAAGTCAATGAGATCACCAAGAGAAAAAATTAGAGAGAAGAGGGTACACAGGCTATACCGACAGTTAGGGGATAGGATATAGATGATGATCCAGCAAAGGAGCCTGAGAAAGAATGGTCAGAGGAGTAGGAGATGAAATGAAAGTGGTGTCATAAAAACCTAGAGAAGATAAAGTATATCTACCAGGAGAGGGTAATCAAAAGCATCAAATACTGCCGAGCTCTGGGCCAAAAAGGATAAGGATTGAGAAAGGACCATCAGATTTGGCAATTAAGAGATCACTAGGTAACTTTAAAAAGAGGAGTTTTCGTTAAGTGTTGAGATTGGAGACCAGATAGTAAGGGGTTAAAAAGTGAATGAGAGGACAGAGAGCAACTGGGAGGCTCAAGTGATGCTTCAATGTTTGTAGGCAGTGAGGGATTAGCCAGCCAGCCAGCCAGAAGTCATGGTGGTGATGGGGTATGTGTCAGGAGAGGCACAATAGTGGGACAACCCAAGGAAGGGAAGGGAAGAACAGAAAGAGAAATAAAAGAAGGGTCAAAATAAACTTTACTGCATGCTTCTTCTAAAGACCAATGAGTGGTGATTCATGTCTTAGCAGAAGAATCAAGAACACAGAGCTGAATGACATTAGAAATAAACTATTCAGCAAAAATACACAGAACAGAAAATAAAAAAAAACAAGAACATAAGATTTAGAGCTGGAAAGGATCTTGGAGGTCATCTAATCTAACCCCTTCATTTGACAAATGAGGAAATTGAGGCCAAGAGAAGTTAAGTGACTTGCCCAAGATCACATGGATATTAATAAAACCAAGAGCTGTTTTTTAAGACCAAAAAAAAAAACCCCAAAAAAACCAAACCAAAAACCAAAAACAAAAACTGACAAACCATTAGCAAACAATTAAAAAAGGAGAGAGAAAACACAAATCACCAAAAATTCGTGCAACTACTACTAACAAATGAGAGAATTTTAATGAAATGGAGATTATTTGCAAAAATATAAATTGCCAATGCTTACATATCAGGAAATTCATAACTTAAAAAGACCAATCTCAAAGCAAGCAATATGAATTACCCAGCAGAAAGGCATCTGGTCCAGAAGGGTTCTTAGATGAACCTTCAAAGAATGAATAATCCTTTTATTACATAGACTATTCCTAAATATAGAGAAAGATGGAAGATTACCCAATTCCTTCTATGAGTCAAATATGGTACTGATTTGAAAAACAAAACAAAAAATAAAATTATAGACCAATTTCCCTAATGAGTATAGATACCAAAAAACTAACTAATACATCAGCAAACATCATATAGTAAAATATTATAAATGATGCACTGTGACAGAGCAGGATTTATTCCAGATAATCAAGGCTGGTCCAAAACCAAATGGATACCAGGGGTGCTGCAAGGGCACTTATAAAATAGAAAGAGTACATAGAAAAAAGGCTGCTCACAAACAGAGTGGCTCCTCTCTGGTGCAGTTATGAGAAAATATGGACAAGAATCACCCAGAACGAGAAGGCGTAGGTGACTAGTGACCTGCATCAAAATCGGACAATCACATTGATGAGATCACAGATCATCCACTAAAGAATCGATCTAATACATTCAAAAATTATAAAAAAAAAACCAACCCTGATCTTATCACCAGATGCCAAAAAAGCCTTTTGAGAACATTCCAAAACTCAAATCACAATTTCTAAAAAAAAATTAAAAAGAATAGGAATAGAAAATTTATTTTCCTCAACACAATAAAAAAGATGAAGCTGATGCACATAATGCTTGCTGCTTCTTTTAGTAACTGAGAAATATTTGAAATATTTCCATTAAAAGCAGGTACAAAACAACAATGCTCACTTTCACTATTTCTATTTGGTATAGTAATTGCAGTAAGATAGGAAAAGATATTAGCGAATTAATGTTGCAATGAAGAGATCAAAATATTGTTATTTGCAAATGACATGATAATGTACCTAGAAACGCCAACCATCCAAACAAAAAGTAACTGAACCAATAAATGAGTTACACAAGTCGGCCAGATACAAGATAAACCCACAAAGATAATTTGTATCCTTATATATGTAAAATAAAAAATCAAGAAAACATCATTAAAAAAGAAACCCAATTTACAACAAAAATTAAGGGCTTGGGAATTAACTAATCTAGACATACACATGACCTTTATAAAGGCAATAAGACTGTACTGAAAAACAAAGGAAGACCTAAATAGTAGGAGGGATGTTCCACGTTTACAGGTGGGCTGGATTACCAGTAAAAATGTCAATATAATTTTAATGTAATACCCATGAAGATGAAGCTATCAAAAATTTTCTTTATAGAATTAGATAAAATAATAACAAAATTAATAAGGAAAAGCAAGCTAAAATATCAAAAGGCATTGTGGAAAAAAATACATGCCGAAGATAGCCTTGTATGTCCAGATTATAAAACATTGTAAAGTGGTTATCATCAAAACCATCCCAAAACCGGCAAAAAATACATCAACGGGACAGAATGCAGATTCCAGATATTAATCCAAATATGTATAAAAAATGACTGATATATATTATATAAATACATACACATATACAAAATAAGAAATTTGGAAAAGATTCATTATTCAATGTAGTAAGGAAAAATGGTCAGAAATGGGTGTTATCTTTACTCTGGAAAATAGTTTGGAATTATCTGAGAAAAGAGATTAAACTGTTTATACTCTTTGACCCAAATACCATTATTAGCATATACTTCTCAAAGAGGACAAAGAAAGAGGAGAAAGTGTCATATATACCAAAATATTCATAGTAGCATTTTTTGTGGGAGCAAAAAACTGGAAACACAGTGGGTATCAATCAACTAGGAAATGGCTGAACAAATTATGACATATAAATATAATGGAATATTATTGAACAATTGGAAATGACGTAGAGGAGGAATTCAGAGAAACTAGAATGGAACTTATATGAACTGATACAATGTGAAGACAACGTTAACTAAGAGCAAGATATACAATGATGATAGGAAAACAACATCGATAGGTTAATGTAATGACCAATCTTGATTCCTGATGAACCATATTTCTCTCTTTTCTACTAGAGAAGTGGTGGACTACAGGGTCAGAATGCTGCATATACTGTCAGTCAACATATGAGCTATTTTATTACAAGTGACAATGATGTATAAAAACAAAAAGGGCGATGTGGAAAATAACAAAATCATATCCACACCTCACACTCTACAACACTAAATTACAGCCACTTAAAACTATAAAAATATGGAAGAAAATTGAGTAATATATTAACCTTACTTGTGATGGAGAAGTATGTTTTTATCTACTAACTGAATAGAGGAAATTATTTGGAACAAGGTAGATGCAACTGACTTTTAAACATTTCTACAAAGCAAAAGAAAATATGGCAAATTTGGGGGGGGGGGATAGGTACTACTGGACCTGTGATTTCATTAGGTATAGGGAACTTCCAGGTGAGGAAAGTCCCTCTACCCATGCAAGTCAGCACCTGTTCTATGACAAACAAATCTAAGAGTTGCCTGGGGCATCAAGAGATTAAGTGACTTGCTTGGGATGACAAAATAAACCTCTAAAATTTACTAAGAACTGATAAAAATAATCAAGAACAAAAACCTAATCCCCAATGAATAAATATTCAAAGATTATGAACTGATTCACATGTATAATTGATATCATACTGCTTGCCTTCTCAATGAGTGGGGGAGGGGCTGAAGGGGGGGAATTAAGAAATCAAAAATAATTTTTAAATGAACATTAAAAACAAGTAATAAGTTGAAAAAGAAAATAAAAACAAAGAATACAAACAATTTATAACTAGAGGAAACAAAAATTATTTTTGAAAAAGATCACTTGAAAGTTAAAAGAACTTTGAGGCATCACTTCATACTCATCAAAATGGCAAAAAGTTCAAAAGAAGCCGTGTCAGTCAGTGCTGGCAGGGACGTGGAGAAACAAAATCCACTCATGTCTAGCTGGTGGTTTTGTAAAATGGTGAGATCTTTTTGGAGAGCAATCTGGCAGTGAATTGCAAAAATTACTAAAATAATCATACTCTTTTACCCATATCGAAAATATACCTGGACTGAATTCTCTTGTTTTAAAAAACTGTATGTTCCAACATTTTTTTTTTTTATAGCAGCATTGTTGCTGCCAAAAATTGGGATTAATCAAAATGTTGAACAGTAGGGGAATAGCTGCATAAACTGTTCAAAGAGATCTGGGGAGAGCTAGGAGGTAAATGGAGTGGAAAAAAAAGAAGAATCGCAGGCATGAGCCAACTACATCAGAGGGAAAATCTAAATGGCAATGTGGGAATGAATGGCCAGAAAGGGAAGGTACAGGAGACTAAGGGGATAACTGGGTAGTGGTTGTGGCCATTTTATATGTGGAAATTCAAGTATTCAAATGTAAATATTTGTAAGATCTGTTTAATGAGTTTTGTCTATGTAAAGTCTATTGGTTTTCCAAGTAAATCATTCTTCTGCCTTAGAAGAGGTGGGAGGTAGCTTTTGGTAACAAAAAAAAAATGCTATAATTTAGTGGTTATCTTAGTGATAACTTAGTGAAGCTACTTACTGGGGAAGGTGATGAAGGCCTGGCCCTTCATGCGGCCAGTCAACACTCGGAATTGAATCGGGGGTCCTTTTTTCTCCTGGAACCGGGCAAACAAGGAGACAAGTTCCTTCTCAGTCACCCGAGGACTGAGGTTCTTCAAATACAGTACCTAAATCAAATTCAGGTTCAATAGGAATATTACATGAAGGAAGTACAAGGTAACTTATTCATTATAGTTAGCACTAGCCAGACTTTTCCTAGTGGTCTAGGCTTAACTTGATGGGAAGAGCCTTATAGAAAAGGGAGCAGCAGCTACAAAAAGACTTAAAAGGCTGGGAAACCGAGACCGTTTCTTCTCCATTCTTACTTGGGGGGGGTAGCTGGAGAGAGTCACATAACATGACAGGTAGTAAAGGGAGAGCTGATGGTGAAGTATGCCTCCCATGTCTTGACAGAGGTGGTGAACTACAGGCATACATTTCCAGACATGACCAATGAGCTGATTTGTTTGCTTGACTGTACTTGTTACATGAGATGGTTCTGCTGGGAAGTGATATTTTTAAAAGATGTTAATAAAAGAGCAATAAGACAGCTATAAAGAAAAAGAAAAGTTGTCATATAACCATGCCAAATTGAGGCCATTACAAATGTATGTTATCTGATCTCAACTGGACCCTCACGGCTGCGTTACAGTCCTTTTATGTGGCCCCAACCTGTGTAATGGTTGTTTCTAATCTCCTCAAGAACCCTAAATCAGGGCTTCTTAAACTTTTCCCACTCTCCAGCCCTTCAGCGCTTCTTAAACAAGACCCCTATGGGGTCTTGACCCACAGTTTAAGAAGCGCTTCAGCCTAAAGCACCTCCTCTCCAGGGCACCTCCTATCTTCTTTCCTTTTCCACACCAAGGAAATCCCTCATTTCCTCTTCCTTTGCTCTAGTCTTGAAGGAAGAGGTGGCCCTTCTCCTTAGCAAGCTTACCCCTTCTTACTTGTGTTTTTGAGTTCATTCCCTCCCATCCACTAGAGATGCCTCCTTGACCATTCCCTCTTTCATCTTCAGATTCTCCTTCTCTGTGGCCTACAGGTCTCCTTGATCCTTAAAGATCATGTCATTCCCTTAAACTGTCCTGCATTTCTTCTCCCTTCCACAGCCAAACTCCTGGAAATGATTAATCATCTATGACTATCTATGATAATCATCTACGACCTCATTTCCTCAACACCTATTCACTTCTAAAATCCTTGGAATTGGGCTTCTGACCCCATCATTCTATTGAAACTGCCCTGTCCAAGGTTACCAAAGATCTCAACTTCGAAATCAAATGGCTGTTTCTCAGTCATCATTATAACTCTCTGTAGCTTCTGACTCTCACATCTTCTTTCTGGATACTCTCTTCCTGTCTTGACTGTTCCTTTTCTTGTTGAGTCGTTTTTCAGTTGTTTCCGACTCTTGGTAACTCCGTTTGGGTTTTTTTGGGCAGAGATACTAGGGCGGTTTGCCATTCCCTTCTCCAGCCCATTTCACAGATGAGGAAACTGAAATTTACAACAGGGTAAAATGTCTTGTCCAGAGTCACACAGCTAGTGAGTGCCTAAGGTCAGATTTGAACTGACAAAGATTAGTATTCCTGACTCCAGGCCTGGTACTCTATCTGCGGTGCCACTTAGCTGCCCCTTTACTGTATCATCATTCATTGCCTGTCCCCTTAATCGTGGCTATACACTGAAGCTCTGGCCCCTGGACCCTCCTCTCTCCCTTCTGGGCCATCTCATCAACTTCCATGGGTTCAAGTACTATCTCTATGCAGAGGACTACCAAATCTATATATCCAGCCCCTACCTCTCTCTTGAACTTCCATTATTACCACTTGCCTGTTAGACATCTCTACCTGGATGTCTAATGGATATTTCAAACTTAACATGCTCAGAATGGAATTCAGATATTTCCCTCATTTTAGTTGAAGGCATCCAGGCTCACCACCTTAGATCCTGACCAGTCGCCAAGTCTTGCTGATTCTTCCTTTACAACACCTCTCAGGTCTTCTCTCTTTTCTTCACTTACACAATCACTACTCTGGCACATGCCCTTATCACTCCTCACCTGGACCATTGCAAAGCCTCCTTATTGGTGTCTCTGCCTCCAGTTTCTCCCCTTTACAAAGTATTCTCCTCTCTGGAAATTTCTATTTCTAAGTCACAGGTCTGTCCATCCCATTCCTCTGCTCTAACATCTTTGGTCGCTCATTTTTACCCCTAAGATAAAATATAAGCTGCCATTTTAAAGCCCTCCCCAGTCTGGCTCCTACCAACAATTACAGGCTTAAACTACATCTCCTGCCAAACTAGCCTGCTAACTTCTCCCAAAACGACTTGCCATCTCCTCCCTCTCTTCTCTGAGTTCTCATGACACTGCTCTCTCCTATTTCTTCTCCTACCTATCTAATTCTTTTCAATCTCTCCTTCGCACGATCTTCATAGAACTCCCAATCCCTAACCCTAGCGGAGCCCAGGATTTGGTCCTATTCTTTCTTCTCTTCTCTCTTGGTGACCACATATATCAGCTCCCATGGAGTTTAATTATCACCTCTATGCAGATGACTCCCAAGCCAAGTCAATAAGCATTTATTAAGCACTTACTATGTGTCAGACACAGTGTTAAGCTACGAGGATTTTTAAAAAATGGCAAAAACAGAATCTGCTGTCAAAGAGCTCATTGTCTAATGGAGGGGCTAGGGGTCTACAACGTCCAAACCTACACATCCAGATGTCGTCTCTCTTCTGAGTTCCAGACCTGTATCATCACTGCTTGCCTGATATCCCCAACGGGCTATCTATCCCAAAGGCAGATAAAACTTAACACGTCCCAAACAAATTGCATTATCTTTCTCCTCTAAAGCCACCCCTCCCTCTTCCCAACTTCCTTATTCTTCTGCCGCTTCAAGGCCATATGTGGCCCAGTAGGTCCTCAAGTGCAGCCCTTTGACTGAATCTAAACTTCACAGAACAAATCCTTTTATTAAGGGGAGTCCCAACATATGCACATCTAACTTTGGTAAAAATCAAAATTAAAAAAAAAATCAATTAAATTACACAAGCAATTCCTTTCCCTATTCCATTTGATGAGGCTATTCTCCCCCCGCCCCACCTCTACCCCCTTTGCAGCGAGCATGAGATGAGAGATATGAATCTGCTTTCTCCTGTTGGCCTCAGTTGCTGTGAGGAGCATAATAACCACTCTAGAGTCTCCTCACCAGCCCCACAGGCTCTTTGCTCTGCATAGGCTGGTGAGGAAGAAGGAGACAGCCCTCCTCAGCCTTCCTGGTGAACCAGAAGGCCCCTGCTGGGCTTCCTTTAACTTCAATGTGTCCTCTCTTGCTGCAGGAAGACACAGAATTGGGGTCGTGTGATTTAATATAATCACACTTACACACACAAAGTGTTTTTAAGAGCATTGTCCCCTAATCCTCACTTTTCCTACCAGCCAAGTTGTTACATGTTTTTGTTTTCTTCTATTTGAGTTACTGCTCTGCTCCTCATCACCAGATTAGCTGGATGCAGGAAAAATTCCAACCCACGAGAAAGCCTTTTCAGGGGTAACCACACGCTGATACACAACTTTGAAAAAAGAGACCTGGGGGGCAGCTAGGTAGCACAGTGGATAGAGCCCCAGCCTTGGAGTCAGGAGGACCTGAGTTCAAATCCGGCCTCAGACATTTGACACTTACTAGCTGTGTGACCCTGGGCAAGTCACTTAACCCCGACTGCCTTACCAAAAAGCAAAAAAGGGAGAGAGAGAGGGAAAGACCTAGCCCCTTTGCAGCTCCAACTGTTTAAAGATCCTCTATTATACTTTATGGATGACTTAGGGGATTTTAGAACATTATTCTGACCAGAGTTTTTGCTCTATACACACAGTCTTGAAAACTGTACCCTGTGTAAGATGCTACTCTAAAATACCTAAAAGTATCTAAACTCCAGGCTTGACCACGTCACTCCCCTCACTAAGAGTGGCTTCCTCCCTTTTGCCTGTAGGACAAAAGACAAGTTCTTCACTGGAACATTTAAAATGCCCTTAACAACCTGGCTCTGACCCATATTTTTACACTGATTCCACCTTATTCCTACTGCCCATAAATGACATGCCATGTCTCACTTCCACGCCCTTGCACAGGCTGTCCCTCATGCCTGGAATACTCTCTTCCTTTGTAAGGGAAACTCAGCTCAAGTACCACTTTCTGCATGAGACCCTTCCTTTAACCTTTGCTTGTTAATGCTCTCCCCAACCTCCCCCAAATCACTCTATATATTTTGTATTTACTCATCTAGGTATGTATTGTTTTCACCCAATAAACCGTAAGCTCTTGGAGGGCAGGGAGCGTTTCATTTTTGTCTCTGCATTGCCAGTGCCTGGCATGGAGCCTGACACAACATAGGCAATTAAGAAATGCTTAATGTGGGGCAGCTAGGTGTCGAGGTGGATAGAGCACCAGCCCTGGAGTCAGGAGGACCTGAGTTCAAATCTGACCTCAGACACTTGACACTTACTAGCTGTGTGACCCTGGGCAAGTCACTTAACCCCATTGCCTAGCCGCCCCCCCAAAAAAATGCTTATTGAATTGAACTTAATTCATACCTTTGCACAGGGTTACACTGGAATACACTCCTTCCTCATCTCTGCTTCTTACCCTCCATCCCTTTCGAGGTTCAATGTAGGCACCACCCTCTACCTTCCATAGAAAGTAAGCCTTCAGCTGCTCCTTACTCCCACCCCATGGATACTCTGTTAGTGGCCATTTCCTCATCTGTATATATGTTATATCTCCCTAAGGACAAAGTAAGCTCCTTAAGGGCAAATGACTATGTGTTCTGCTTTGCATTCCCAGAGCTTAGCACAATGCTCCGAGCATGGTCGATAATCAATACCTGTTTGCTGAAATGAACTGAAGGCTTTGGGGTAACTAAAAAATTGACTTCCAGTATAATGAAGGATTTTCATATAGATGATGGTGGTTCTTAAACAAAAAATTCAACATGCTGTAGAACAAAGAACTCAAGGCTAAGACCTTCCTGAAAGTGAGTATTGCTTCATGCTATGGCAGGTTGTACTCTCTCAATTTGTATGTCTTTAAGAATAATGACAACAGCAAGTAAGCCCTTTACAAACATTACCTTATTTGATCCTCACAACAACCCTGTGAGGTAGGTGCTATTGCGACCCCCATTTTACAGATGAGGAAACTGACAGGTTAAGTAACTGGCCCAAGATTACACAGCTAGTAAGTGTCCAAGGCAGGATTCAAACTCAGAACATCCTGACTCCCAAGGTCAGCGTTCTATCCACTAAGCCAGCTAGTTCCCTGCTAAAACCAGGAGTCACTTGTCTGAAATGATTTAAGTGTAGTCAGCTCTTAAAGGGAGAATGAAATCCTGTGAATTAACTAAAGTCATTTCTGGAGGTGAATGAAGGGATCTGAGATTTCAAGTACTCAGCATGAAACATCATTAAGTCAAAATAATTCTCTTGGTTTTTTTTTTTTTTTTTTAGGAAAGAGGAGTAAATAAAGTTGGACCAATATTCTTACCCTCTAGGAAAGGGTAAGTGGATCTCTAGGAAAGGTCCACATTGAGATTTACTTCTTTGATCTGTCCCAAACAAAGCCTTCAAGTCATAAGCAAGAACTAACAGCAAAAATATTTTAGAAATAAGTCACTGAAAAGATGTTGTGTTAATACCCCTCACATCCAACGCTCCTTCGAGAATACCCAAGGATTACCAGAATCACTGAGTTGTCCATATTTATGAAATTAGACCCCAAAAAATACATGCTCTAGGGGCTTGGGGCACCTTTGGGGGTGACGGGCTCAGTGAGAGCTTTCTATTCTACTTAGGTCATATGCTATTAATGCAAAACCGTACCATTGGTAGAGATGGTGACTAGATGATAATACAATGAAATGGCCATGGAACTGGTTGAATCCGCAGGACCCATTCATGTTTGTTTAACGTTAACTTTGAGAGAGATCTCCAAGGGAGTGCCCCAGAAATCAATGGTTGGCCGTGTGCCTTTTAACCATGCCATGGATAAAGGCCTAAATGGCACACTTATCAAATCTGCAGATGACACCAAGCTAGAAGGGCTAGCAAACACTAGGTGACATTCAGGATCCAACAAGGTCTGGAAAGCTAGAACAAACATGGAGCCAAATAGAAGAAGACTTTTAAGAGGGACCAATGAAAGTCTCATACTTACATGGGTTCAAAAGATCAACTTCACAAGTACTAAATGAGGGAGCCCTGGCTAGAAAGTAGGTCTCTTTAAAAAGAGACAACTATGTGAAATGGTGGTCAAAAGGCTACCTTAACCTTAAGCTGAACAAAAGGACATACAGCTGCCAGGAATAAGGAGGCGATAGTCTTAGAGTACTCTGCTCTGTCCCAGACCACATCTGGAGGGCACCACATTTTAGGAAGGACACCGACCGATGAGCTGGAATGCATCCAGAGGAGAGCAACCGGGATGGTAAAGGGCCATGATTTCACATCATTTGAATGGGGATGTTTATCCTGGAGAACAGATGACTTAGCAAGACTATGACGGCTTTAAGTATCTGAAGACCTGTCAGACGGAAAAGGGATTAGCCTTGTTCTGCTTGGCCCCAGAGGACAGAATGAGGAATGAGAGGGAAAAGTTGCAAAAGGACAAATTTAGATTCAACATTGGGAAAAATTTCTAAATGATAAGAGCTATCCAAAGGTAGACTGGGCTGTCTTACGAAGCAGTGAAATCCTTCCCCCACTGGATGTCTTTAATTAGGCAAGGCCGAGATGACCACCTATTGGACATGATAAAGACACCACTTTTCAGGTACAGGCTGGCCTATCTAAGGTGTCTTCCAACTCTGAAATTCTGTGATTCTGTGAACCTCAGTTTCCTCATCTGTAAAATGGAAGTAACACTCGTATTACCTACACCTCATAGGGTTATTGTGAAGAAAATCTATGATGTTGTGTATACCTTAAAGCCCAATATAAATATGGATTAGTAATAGTATCCTCAACTTGGCCTCTCGGAATCTTTTGTCCTTCAAAGCACAATTCAAACAGCACCTCCTACATGAGGTCTTCCCTGATCCCCCCAGGCACTAATGCCTCCCCACTCCTCAATACCTTGTGTTTATTTTGTGTCCACTCATGTGTGCACATGTTGTTTCCTCTAATAGAAGGTAAACTCCTTGGGGGCAGGAGATGCTTCACTTTTGTCTCTGCTTTGCCAGCACCTAGTGAGGTGCCTGGAACATCGAAGGTTCTAATAAATGCTTGGTGGTTGACTGGCTGATAGCCTCATTATCAGGTACTAGCAGCCTAAGTTACCAGCTACCTTGGACAGCAACAAAGCGGCCTAAAGAAGCAATCCTTCACTCTCCTCAGGAAGCTTAGTTAAGGCCACGCTGAAGAGATAAGCACCATTGGGCAGCACTAGCCAGCAGCCAAGCAGCTGAGAAGCACAGGGCTCTGTTAATATTGACTACGTCCACACCCATCCCAAGGGCCACTAGATGGGACAGTTTCTAGTCAAAGTAACTCATTCACCTAGCACTTTAAAGCTAACTGCCTATCGTGTGGCTGCCCTTGTCCCAGGGGACTGGCCGTCATTATTTCCTAAGCTCAGGGCTTCTAAGGCGGAGTGAGACGGTGATTCTCATCAAGAGGGTTACGCTTGAGAATGCCAAGGGTGGCCAAGTGAGGAGTAAGAATGAATGGTGAACCAGGCAGCCTAAGGCAGCCAGCTGGTCTGCAAAGGCTATTCATGGGGATGCGTAAGGGGAGAATTCATCCAGGATCTGGAGGTCCTGGCCAGGAGGCTAGAGCCCTCTCAGACAGATGAGTCTTTGACTCCTCAAGCTGAAGGGCAAACCCAGTTGCCATGATGATCTCATGACTCTGCCTTCCCATTACAAGGCCTAATCTACAGTCCTGTTTCAGTAGAGAAAAAAGGAAAGCAGCCTATATGTGCCAAGCTTGCTTTGGCCTATACCTTGTTTGGCTCTCCAGGACTGTATGAAGCAAACATAGGAATTTTGCGGATGTCCTCCTCTGACAGACGATTTCTCAGGATCTCATCTTCTGAAACAAACGCCACTAGTTCTGTCACCTTCTTGGGCCCCGTAAGACATTGCTGGGACTCAGATTCATTAGCTTTCACCACATGAAGGCTAGGCCCCTCAGCCTGTGCTGCCTCGTTTCCCTGATCCTGAAGTACTGACAGGTTCTTAGCTGTGACACTAGTGTCCACTAATGCATCTGGGTCCAGTGAGAGGAAAGCAAAGGGTTCACCTCTCATAAGCTGAGCCTCTTCGGGGTGTGGTTTGGCCAGCATCTCTTGGTAAACAGTCTCCAGATTATTAATGGGGTCCTTCTCAGCCTCTAGTCTCTTATGGGATTCACCTGAATCAAGGCAAAGAGGAAGAAAAGTTATTCAAAATCCATTATAGCCCATGACAAAAATCAACCAATGAGCCCAGCCCCGAGTCTCAGGAGATATTCTGCTGAGGGGCAACTCTTTAAAGCCTGTCATAACTGGCATTAGCAGACAATTAGGAAAATTGTTATGTGCATCATTTTGAAAATGTATTTGGTTATACCAGTATCTTTGCTATACAAAACAGCTGCGTTAGGTTTAAAGCAAAATTATTTATGGGTCTTTCTATATGGTGAGATTTCTACATGGTGAGAAAATAAACTCAGCCTAAAAGGGCCTTAAGAGTCAACCTTTGAGAAAATGTCAGGCAACGAGGCTATTTCCTGACTTAACTCCCGAAGCAGGGGAGATCTTTCTTATCCCAGGCACTGGAGCCAGGTGGCTGAGTAGAGGGTTTTCTGGCCCCAGGCAATGGACTGCTTTCCATATGGCAGCCTCTTGGATATGTCAGAACACCATCCTTTGTCCGCTGATTTCATTTCCAAATGGCACATGCCATACCACCATCCTTTTCAAAATGGAAGTCAGTGGGAAATTAAGGATAGTTATGGGATGTCCCAAAAGTCTTAATGCAGTTTTAAGCTATCAGAACTTACAACTGCACTAAGACTTTTGGGACACATCTTCCCTTCTCCTCCCACGTGCATGTGCATGGATAAACACATATGTGTAATAATAACAACTAACATTTATATATGGCTTTAAGGTTGGTGAAGTACTTTTTCCATATATCTTCTCATCTGGCAATACATATATATATATATATATATATATATTTACTTTATAGATGATTTGAATAGAAGAGATTTAGGTCAAGAGATACACGTGTGCAAATTCTACTTTTCCACTTCTTTGAGATTATATAATTGGAAGTATGTTCCGCAAGAAAATATGTTGGCCCCAAGATAATAGCAGCAATTAGCATTAGCAATGCAGTTAAAATTAAAAACGTTTAAAGAAACTCATTGAATTCTAATTTAAAATATTTGGAAGGCACATGCTTTAAAGGAATATTATGAACAATGAACCGTGTTGGAGAGTAGCATAAAAGATCTAACCAAAGCAATGAATGGATGACCCAAAAAGGAGGTGGGCTGGCTTGGAGCAAAAGCTTAGCCGGCCAAATGGATAGCCCATTGGCTATGCGAGTATCTACTCTATGTCAGGAGGACATAGGTGGGAATTGCTTGAGATGAGAAAGTGTAGATGGGTTGTAATCTAGACCAGTGGAAGAAGTACCTACCTTAATTAGATCATGGAGTCATTCAAGTATTGAAGAAATATTTAAAGGAAAAGTGATTATTTTCTCAAAAAACAATAATGGCTTACATACATAGAGTACTTGGGGGGCACAAAGCACTTTACTTTATAGTATCTCATTTGATTTCTGCAATAACCTTATGAGTTTTGTAACACAGCTATTTCATCATCCCCATTTTGTAGATGAGGAAATTGAGGCTCAGAGAGGTGAAATTTAATTTTTTTAAGTTAAATTTAGTTAAAACTTAGTCCAAGTAGTGGACAAAGCCAAAATCTGAACCCAAGTTTTCTCTCTCCGAGTCCAGTAAAACAGAACTTTAAAATATTCTTTATGTTTTGTCAAAGAGCTTACAGACAAAAGGAAAATAAGGACCAACAGCTTACTAGGCTAAAACTGTCCCACCTGGGATCTCAGGCATCATGCCTGGAGTCATCAAGACTGGAACTTCAGGCACAGGCCTACAGCTAACCTGGCTGTTCCACCAATATGGCACTCCATCTGTCTGCTCCAGTTTTCTTTGGCTGTCCGCCATGCCTGGAATGCTCTCCCTCCTGTGATCTGACTACTGATGCTGCCCTGGCTTTCTTTAAGTCCCAACTAAAACCCCACCTTCTACAGGGAGCTTTCTCCAATCCCTCTTCATTCCAGTGCCTTCCTTCTATTAATTATCTCCTATTTATCCCGTATACAGCTTGCTTCATATGAGTTGTTTGCATGTTATCTTCCCCACCAGATTATAAACTCTTTGAGGGCAGGGACAGTCTTTTGCCTCTTCTTGTATCCCCAGCCCTTAGCACAGTGCCTGACACGTAGCAGGTGCTTAATAAATGTTTATTGATTGATCTGTACCATAGACATCAGATTAATGTCAAAACTATCACAGCCAAGGAACGGTCAGTCCATGGTGGATACATTGTCTAGGTATGTCTTATCTCCTGCCATCTTAGAATATAACTGATGAGCAGATGTCACATGTGATTTCAGGCCAGTCTCTAAGGACCCAAATGTCTAGCCCAAAGTTCCTGCCCCAGTTCTCCAGTGTCTATAAAGAGAACACATGTACCAACAATGCCTTCCATCCTCACAAGACTCCGGAAAGTATGAAGACATAAATCAATTGGTATTTCCACAGTATAATGACTAGTAAATTTGTTACTCCTGATCCCCTAATCCCAGTGATTCATAATGACTGTCTCCTGAGAGGAAAAAACAACCACAAAAACCTTCCCAAGCTACCTCTTCTCATATTCCTGCCTTCATCCAGCAAGATGCCATTAATTCCCCAATCCCTCTGGAAACCACACTTGGATCATAACAAATGACCCTTCACCCTTGATCTCTCCTTTTCACACTTTATCCATCCTGCATTCATGGCAACTCTCCAGAAGACACTGCAAGGAATAATCAACTGAAAGTCAAGAAGTCCTGGGTTCAAATCCTGCCTTTAATACTAACTAGCCATGTAACTTGAGGAAAGTCACTTCAACTCTATGTGCCTCCATTTTCTCATCAGTAAAATGGGCATACTCACAAGGGTTTTTGTGAGGATCAAATGACACAAGGTAGATAAGGCACTCTGCAAACTTTAAGGCCCTACAGAAATGTGTTATCATCATTATCCTGGCTCCCTTAGCCAGTGCTGGCTGTACCTTGACTCATGGTCCTCCTGTAATAAGCTAGGAGAAGGCATCGATGTCCTCCCTGCTGCCACTATTAGACCCTACTATAACTCAGCTACTTTTTGCTCTCCAAGGTTCACCCTGTCTACAGTATCCCATCCAGATCCTAGCTGCTATTGTCTATCAGCCTCCAGCTCAGTCTCACTCTTTTTTCTGGGTAGCTCATAGTTTGTCCAACCCAATCCATGCCCTCTTCCCTGGGGCCTTCAATATACATATGGGGGTATCAAGTCAGTGGGCTTCTAAATTCAACAACCTTCTCAACGACTCCCAGGACCCACAGCTTCACTCGAGCCCAGCAAAGGGATAGTAGTACCTTACGTCTCACTATCCCCCCTAACTCTGCTACCTGCAGGATTTCAAATTCTCAAATTCCCCTCTCTGGTCACAATCTCTTGCTCTTCCATCTTTCCCCCTGCCTAAATTTCTACTTCATCCTCACCATAACATCTAGCTACTGCATCCCTCGCCATTCTCCCAGTCCATCACCCCAGCTCTGTCCTCATTATCTTCACTTCATAGTTTCCACCTCACAGTCAACTCATGCAGTTCTTCACCCTGGATTCTCACGGTCCCTGATCCCATTGCCATTCACTCCTTGCCAGTCCTTGACCTTGGATCACCCTCTACCACCTGCCTCCTTCACTCATACTTCTAAGCTACTGAATGAAATTGAAGTCAACCCACTGGTTGATTGATTCCATTACAAACTCATGTTAGTGAATTTCAACTGGACCTTCACTGCCATACAACAACAACTGTTCTTCCTTTATTCTCTATCCTATTCCCTTAAGGAGCTGTTCCTCCTTTGGCCCAAATACCTTCCCCTTAGCCCCCTTACTCTCAATAAATGTCTCAACCTCCTACTTTGCTGAGAAAATAAAGGTCATCAATGGTGAACTCCCTCAACTCCCCTACTCAACACTTCAAACTCCACTCCATATCTTCAACCCATCTTCTCTTTAGTCTCAAAAGAAGTGGCCCTTCTCCTTGCCAAGGCCAACGATTTTAAATGTGCCCTCAAGCACATCCCCTCCTATCTCTTCCAGAAGCCTGGCCCATCATTCATTCCCCGTCTCCTTCAACTGTAGGCTTTCCCTAGTTGTAAGCTACAAACATGGTGGGTATAAAATGCCTTCAGCTGACCCTGCCAACCCTTCAAGCTACTGTCCTCTCTTCCCTTTCACAACCAAACTCTTTTTTTTTTGGCTATGCAATGGGGTTAAGTAACTTGCCCAGGGTCACACAGCTAGTAAGTGTTATGTGTCTGAGGCCGGATTTGAACTCAGGTCCTCCTGAATCCAGGGCCAATGCTCTATCCACTGTGCCACCTAGTTACCCCCACAACCAAACTCTTGCAAAGAACTATCTCCCCTCACTTCCTCACCACCCATTTGCCAGTCCCTTGCCATCTGGCTTGGGACCCCACCATTCAGCTGAATGTCTAAAATGGCCAATAGTCCTTAGCCTCTAAATCCAAGGGCCCTGTCTCAGTCCTCATCCTCTTGGATTTCTCCGCAGTTTTGAATACTGTGAGCAGTAGCGGCATGTAGCAGAAAGAGTGTTGCCTTGGGAGGCAGAAATACCTAGGCTCAAAGTCCACCTTTGATGCTTACTAGATGTGTGGCCATGAGCAAAAGTATTTACCATTTCTGAGCCTTAGCTTCCTCCTCTCTAAAAGGCAGGGTTTGGAACGGAAGGCCTCTAAGTTCTCTTCCAACTCTGTATCCTGTGACTAGGCTAGTTTGGACTCTCAGAGCCTTAGTTTTTTCACCTGCAAAACAGGAACAATACCATCTGCAGTACTTACCTCGCAGGGTTGTCATGAGGATCAAATGAAATATGGCAGGTAGGACAACCTTCAAATATCCTTGAACTTGAGCTGCTCTTTCCTGGTTCTCCTCCTGTCTGACTAACTGCTCTTCCCACTGTATTTCACTGCCCAGCCATCCATGGCTTGCTCCTTTGCTCTGGGTGACACTTCCCCCCTCCCCAGGATGGGGTAGGGGTAGGGTGCCTTTGAGTTGCTCCCGGAACAAGGGCCTTGCATTCCTAGCTCTTTATTGATATGACCCTCCAGGTCACCAGGAATCATCAATCTGTGGTACAGGGTGAATCTTGGCAGGCCAACCCTCCAGTGAGCTACTTGCATTGCTGAAATGCCTTTGGGTTGCCACCTACAATAAGCTTTGTGTCATTTGCTCCTATCCTGCAGTCATTTATTGCATCTCTAAATTCAAAGCAGAGCACTGCCTGGCTTGTCTGTCAGGCTACTGAAGGCAAACTGAGTCTTGACAAGGAAAAACCGCCTTTGAGTTATCCCAGAGAGGACAAAGGCATTTTTGTTTAGCTATTCATTGGCCTTGATCAGGGATTCTTAAACTCTTTGCTATCATGAGATATTATCTGTAAAGGGCTTAGCACAGTGCCTGGCACATAGTAGGCACTTAATAAATGCTCATTCCCTTTCCTTCCCCCCATGGTAATCTGGCAAGGCCTATCGACTCCTTTGCACAATAATGAAATTTCAGTTAGACATTAGTGAAAAGAAAGATGTAACTTGTTCTCATTCAAGTTCACAGACTGCCTCCCCCAAACGTATCCATAAACATGTTGGGAGTTCATGAACCCCAGGTTAAGAAGCCAAGACTTGGATGGTCCCTTCCAACTCTCAGATTTTACTTAATCAGGAATGGGGCACTTCCTGGTTCCATGTTCTCCCCAACACTAATTGTCAAAAAATAGTTTCCTTGCCTAACTGCCTTAATTTATCTCATCTGTTCAATAAGATCCTGACACTTCCCCTCTTATCCTCCACATCATGGTGGCCATGAAGACTTAAAAAACAGATCCTCAAAGTCTGAGAACAACTTAGGGTGTGCCTTCCTCAGCAATCAGCTGAGCTCTTACACAGGTTGCTACTGGTCTGTTGCTCCTTTCACTGCCCAAGGAAGGATTCCCACCTGTTGCTTACTCTCTTGAAATCTGGCTTCTATCCTCACTACTCTAACCAAATTGCACACCTAAAAGTGACAACCCTCCCGTCCTGTTCTTTCTGCCTTCAAAATGGTACTTGGATCTGTCCCTTTATAACCCTCTCAACCTACACATAATCCTTCAATGGCTCCACACCAATAAAATAAAATTTAAAATTCAATCTCCTTAACGGGGCATTCAATTGCCTTCACCATTGGGCCCCTACCTATCTCTCTAACTTGATCTCCTATTTTTCCTGCACTGGGAGTGCTTACCCTGGGGTACACGAACGTGAGTTTTTTAAAAAATATTTTGATAAAACTGGTTTCCTTTATAATCCTATGTCTTTTATTTGATGGATTTAAAAATGTTATTCAGAGAAGGAATTAATAGGCTGGCCCATGACACACACACAAAGGGTTAAGAATCTCTGGTTGATGCAAACCCTGTATTCCAGCTCAACTAGTCTATTCATCCGGTAAATATTCCTCTGGCCTTTGCCTCCAGCATCATCCTTGCTTGGGAATGCCCTCCTGTTATTTTCCGGTTTTTCAACTCCTAGTTTTCCTTTATTGTTGTTCAGCTGTTTTTCAGTCATGGGTGGCTCTTCCTTGACCCAATTTAGGGTTTTCTTGGCCAAGATACTGGAGTGGTTTGCCATTTCTTTCTCCAGCTCATTTTACACATGAGGAAACTGAGGCAAACAGGGTACAGGGACTTGGCCAGGGTCACAGAGCTACTAAGTGTCTGAGGCCAGATTTGAACTTACGAAGATGAGTCTTCCTGATTCCAGGCCCAGTGCTCTATCCACTGCAGTGCCACCTAGCTGCCCACTTTTCCTTTAAGGGTCCTCTAAAATCTTGCCTCTTGTGTGAATCCTTCCCCACCCGCCTCAGTCCTGAGTGATCAGTCATTTCTCTGAACTCCTAGGGCACTGATTCTCTGTACAATTCATTTAACATGCCACCACATATTGAGATATACATGTTTGTATGTGTGTGAGTGGGTGTATGTGTATTTATTTGTGTGTGGTATTATCACCCCCAAAAGACTCTAAGAACCTCCAAGGCAAGGCCATGTCTTATTACCTGTGCCCCCAGAACCCAGCACAGTGCCTTACATGTGGTAGGCATTCAATAAAAGTTTGCTGAGGGCCACAATGATGAATGGGAAAGTGTTACTGTGACATTGGGCTGGGAGATGGCAATCTATGAGTTGTCTGTGTTAAAGGTGATAGCTGGAAACCCAGTTCCCACCTCTGATGCCAGGCAAGTATGTTTTTCATGTTCTACAAGACCGCATTAGTCAACCCAATTACGATTAATTTTATAATGTGTACGAAATACAACTATCACTTACTAGCTGTGTGACCTTGGGCAAGTCACTTAATCCTGATTGCCTCCAAAAAACAAAGAAACGAAATACAGCTATCTCTTAGGAGAGCTGCCTATGGAAATCCAAAGAGGTTTTGTTCACGATAGGCTGCATCAGACCATTGGCATCTCTCACCCCTTCCTTCACTGCTGACACCCTGACCCTCACTAATGTTCTGATCATTTTCTCAGGAGAAGTCCATATCAAAATCAGTGGGGACTACACACCTTGGTAATAGAGAGCCCTCAGGAAGGAATGGCGATCATTCCCCTGGAACAAAGCCTTTTCTATTTCCATCTCTCGCCGGCTCAGCTGTTTACTCCCTGCGAACCTCTGTGGCAAGGCCAGAATGCGCTTATGCTCTAAGATCTTCTCTTCAATGTCTCGAAGACGGTCCTGTGTTGCTTCAGGGGCTGCTCCCAGCCCTGTGCCCTAAAACCAGAGAGAGAGGATTGAAGACGGCAGCAAGTATCCATGTATGGATCCATGATGGGATACATAAGAATTAAGTCCCATATCACGGGTAGTAGAGGGAATTTTTGCTTGTTGTTCAGTCATTTCAGTCACATCTGACTTTTCGTGACCCTATTTAGATTTTCTTGGCAAAGATATTGGAGTGGTTTGCCATTTCCTTGTTCAATTCATTTTCCAGATAAGGAGTTGAGGCAAACAGGGTGAAATGACTTGCCCAGAGTCACAGAGTTAGTAAGTGTCTGAGGCTGGATCTGAACTCAGGTCTTCCTGACTCCAGGTCCAAGCACTCTATCCACTGTACCACCTAGCTGCCCCTAACCAT